TTTGGATATCGAATCTTCCGGACTAAACATTTCCCTTGACTATACTTAATACACGACATTTCTCTAACCCAAAGTGCATGCTGATATCATTTAAAAAAGTTTCTACAGTTTTAAGACTTGGATCTAAGTGATTTCGAGTGGAAGCCATTAGTTTCAAATCATCCATATACAGATGATTAAGCTTCGCTACTATGGTGTTGTTGTTTTTAATGCTAAAACCTGAGTCAGTGAAGTTCAATAGCTGGGATAGTGTGTTCACCGCTAGACAGAACCACGAGGGACTCGGCGAGTCTCCTTGGAATAGGCCGCGGTTAATTGCGATATTTTCCGTTTAGATATTGTTTTCACCTAGTATTTGGAAGTGAATTTTACTCTTCCAATCTATCGTTATATATCTTAAGAAGGTCAATATATTATCATCGACTTTAAATATTCTTAATATATCTACCAGCCATTCATGCGGCACTGAGTAAAATGACTGAGTCTATAATAAGTTGTTCTTTGCAACCCATGGAACCCTTAGCGCATCCTTTCTGTTGAGGTTCTATGATATTGTTTAGAGCGCAGTGTTGGTGTTGATGTTGGTTAGATATTTATTATTATTGCTTGTATTATTATTATATGATTTCTATAGCGACCAATTTAGAAAATGAAACAATTTTTGTATAATATAATGTAGGTGTATTGTGGAGTATATAACGGAGTGTCTTGAATTAAAATTTTTGTATTATTATTTTAACCTGGAGTATAACCCTGATGTTTTGCTACTAATAACAAAAAACTTTGGTTATTCCATTGCTGACAATAACAATAATACAAGATATATTTTGAGACAAGCTATACCTCTATAACCTAAACTTCCATATTGTTCTAAAGGTATTTTATTGTGGCATTTTAAATTAATTACTATTCAACTGGGAATAAGCCACAATTAAAGATAAAAATACGTTCATTGACGTTTCAATTTCCACTTCGGAAATCGTTCTCAAAATACAAACAGTAAATTAAACAAATTTTGTTTTTTGTTACATAGTGAAAAATTCTTCTAATAATTTAATTTTATCTGACTCATTTTTATTGACACTTCAGACATACATTATGCATTTTAAAGTAGACGACTTTAAAATGATATTGCCAATATTGTTGAGTTGCGCTCCTGGGACGACTTTACTTATAAGATAGTTCATTCGATTACATGAAATCAACTTTAACTTGAGAATATCCGTCAGAAAAAAATCATAGCATGTAATTCGTCTTTAAAAAGACAAACACATGACATGATGACAGTAAAATTCTCCTGTTAGTGATTCCATAGTAAATTATGAGGGAAAAACCAGGAAAAAAACCTCATAATACTATCCCGACATGGTAAGTATTTGTTCGTGCATTTAGTTTACCTTCAATAAACACCAAAATTCTGATTTTATATGTTTCGTTATTTAAAAAACATAAATGATGTATCCTCTATATGTTACTGACTTACTAATACGGGTATTTTCTTATTAATAACTTCCTCTTTCAATATTGGCAACCAGATCCAACTACATTCTGCCGAGGAATTTGCAACACAATTGGCCTCATTTAGCAGTTAAATAGTAATTAATCTAAACTTCCATGTTGTCCGCAGTGAATTCAATAGACTTTTAAGGCGAAAAAATTCATTTTAAGAACTTTATTCTAGCAGTAAAAAGTAATGCATTTTGGACATATACGTATAGCACTTTAAAATGCTAATTTTTTAATGTTGAGTTACTAATATGTTGCTTAGACAACTGTAAAATACCTAAGAATTCCTAATTTTCAATAAATGTTAATAACTAGACTTCGGCAAATATGCAAATAAAAATGTAGAAAATATGCGCATAAATATGCACGTGTTTACCCGAAAATATGCAAATATTTACAAAATATGCATACAAATAAATAAAAAAATTGTAAAATAGTAACAATTTTCTTTAAAAAAAAAGTGTACATAACTAAATATTTCCTACTATTCATTAAGATTTACATTTATCTTAAGTAACTACATCATTTTTAAGTATGAATAAACTTATTTAGAATTATGGTAACAATAAATGACCAAGTGGTGTTCAAAATTTTCTAACAAAAACTTGTGGCTTCTGTCTGAGTAAATATATATATATATATATATATATATATATATATATATATATATATATATATATATATATATGGAAAAATTTCGTTCAACATCAACTGATGTAACGGGAGCATTTTTCAAACTAACCAAAACATTTGGTTCTAAATTAATTGTTTCCGAAATATTTCCAGCTAAAACACTGACTACTTCAGAAAGAATATGGTAACCTTTATTTTTTTCCATAGTAGCTTCAAATTTTTTTAAAATATCTTTTCCAATATTACCTCTAACGTTCCGACAACATGACGCAAATTCTTTTATTAATGCTGTACTTGTTGTAATTGTCCTGAGTAATTGTTTTTTGAACAAAACTAAAATTTGATTTTATAAATGAAAGTTCTTGTTGAAGCAAGTTACTCTGAAAAGTTTGTTTTTAATCCAAAAGAGATTGGGGACGTTCATCTGTTACCGTATCAATTATGTTCTTTATTTTAACAAAATGATCTGCATAAAAATTAGCTGCTTCTAACCATGTTCCCCATCGCGTTAAAATAGGTTGTGGTGCAAGAGGAATGTTAGGTAGCATTTCTTTATAAAGTTGAATTCTTATAGGAGATTTAAGAAATACTTTTTTGACACTGGATATCATGGTATTTACAAGACGAAACTTTTTTCGTATTTCCTCTGCAACTCTGTTTAATCCATGCGTTACACAAGTAACATGTATTAAATCTGGGAAAAATATTTTTAAATTTTGTCCTGTTTTCACCATATAAGGAGCAGCATCCGATAAAATAAGCAGTAATTTATTAGAAGGAATAGTTGTCGGAAGAAAAAAAGTTGCTAATGTTTCTTGTATAAAACGCGAAATTGTTAAAGCATTTGTTTTCTCAAGTTGCTGGCATGAAATAAGATGAGATTTTGGTAAGGTATCTTCTTTAAGAACACCAATCAATAAATGAGCAATATACTTTCCTGAGGAATCAGTGGTTTCGTCTACAGATATGTAAAAATAATTATCTGCAATTTCTTCCTTAATATTAATTAACACCGACGAGTATAGCCCGTTCACATTATTTCTTCTTAGAGACCGATCACTTGGAACATTAAGTTTGCAATATTTTTTTAGAAACGAACTAAAATTTACATTTGCTAATTTTGAAAGCGGTATGTTTGCAGACACTAATGCGCGACACAAGTCTTCATTAAAAGTTTCTTGCTCATCTAATTTTTTGGAAGTAGATTGGAAACATTTAGCCATTGAAGTTTGATGTTTTCCTCCTATTTTTCCTTTTTTTGCAATGTGTAAAGCAGTTCTCACATGTTGGTCTATCTGAAATTTCTTCTCACATGCTATCTATAAATAAAAATAAAAACCTTTATTTTAACCCAACCCTTAAAATATAAAAATATACAAGGTGTTTTTGGTTAATCAAATAACTGGTTTGGAAAAAAAACACTCGCTAAGTGTTTTAAATGCAGTATTAATCCACAAATTAGTTTTTGTTACTAACCATTAGTACATCATATAACTTATTTTAAAATTCAACAAAAGTTTTTTTTTTTGTTAATTCAATTACAATAAAAATAATTGTGTTTTAGAATAGCTGACTCCATAAAAAAAAGTAAAGGTGAAAAATTTTTCTAAATACACACCATTGTATTGTACCATGGATAATTTTTTCTCACTAAAGGAAGCTAGGAAGCTATTTTTCATTTAAAAACAACCTACGAGTACTAAATTTCAAGTAAATACGTTTGTTGGTTTTAAAGTTATTGTTGTTATTAACTAAAAGAATTTAATTTATTTTAATTTTAGCACTCTGTATCTCGAAAAGTAAATAAGTTTGACCCCTCATTAACTATATCGTTTTGTTCAATTTTTCGAGAAGTATCTACAGTCAAACGTTGTAAGTGTCATTTGGAAACACCCTGTATGTATGAAATATTAGATATTTAATAGAAAATATTAGATACTTACAATTTTGCCACAGACTGAACAGTAGATTTTTGCCATATCATATCATGCCATAGACAGCTCTTTATAAGGTTTAATCCAAGTTGAAGCACTGGTTGCATTAGGCATTATAAAATCACAATCTTCCTTTTTGTTACGCACAACGAGTGTTTACGCTTTGAATATCAAAACAAAAATGACTTACAAATCTGAGCATCAAATTAGAAATGTTTAGGTACCTAATTCAATAAACTGGGAGATTTTGGAAAATCCCTAAATTAGGAACAAAACTATTAGCCGTTTACCTGCTGTTAAGATACAATAAATTGTAGATAAATTTGGGGATTAGATCATAAAATGCAAATAAGCGAACCCTTAGCGATTATCCAATAACTGAATGCCTCAGTGACCGAGACTTTCTAAGAATGTTGAGGGCTACTTAAATTGATGTTCTTTGAAATTGTAAATGTTTTGTACCTGTAGAGATTACGTACTTAGATCATTTCTTGATTAAAATGACTACAAAATTTTATACAAGAATTTAAATAAATTGGTATGTTTAAAAATTTTCAAATACAGTATAAAAATCTGAACTTTTATGCACTTTATGCAAACTTTTATACAAATATGCCAAAATATGAAATATTTGCATAAAATATGCACAATATGCAAAATATGCAATATGCATATTTGCCGAAGTCTATTAATAACTATTGAAAAACCGAAAAAAAGTTAAAAAAACCATTTAAAAAATTGCAAAATCAGTAATTTTTTTTCCTGTTCCCCGGGAGAATTATTTTTCATATTCGAAAAACTGGCAAGTTTAAAAAACGTTGTTTTACGGTTATTTTGGATAACCTTTCCTTTCCTTTTAAGGGAAGTTAATCCCTTTTTTAAAAATTAGTTGTAATTAAAATTTATTATTGGTTATTATTATTTCAGATTACATGGATATGTTGATGGAATTACATGACATGTACGGGCCGGTTCTAAGAGTTCACGATGGACCTCTTAGTACCGCTCTTTTCATTAAAGACGTTAAATTGATCGAACACATATTAAGTTCAACAAAGCTAATAAACAAATCGAGGCAATATCAGTGGCTACATAAATGGTTATCAACAGGATTATTAACAAGTACAGGTAAGATTATTATTATATTAAAATTACTGTGTGCCCTAAACTTTTTATGCCTTATTAAGCGGCTAAAGTGTAAAACATTGAAGTACCTACCTATAGCAGCCTATATAAAGAATATATATATATATATATATATATATATATATATATATATATTATATATATATATATATATATATACCTATAGAAGCACTATACTAGTATAGTGCTTTAAGCACTATACTGTGGTAATACTTATATTATTCTATCCTATCCGACTTCGGCGGTAACTTTACGGTTGTAACCATTGAACAACCCATCAGAAATGGTAGGTGCCAATGGATAATATAAGTAACTCTAAAAGTTGGGAGCCAATGTAGAACAAAAAACTCACAATTTTCTTTGGGAGAGAATTTTGAGCCTCAGTTTTTCAAGTGTGAAAAAATCTTTTCTTAGAAGTAAATAGGAAAAATCAGTTTGGCTAGGACTAATAAACTAAGATATTAACTAATCATTGGACATATTTATTCTACACAGATAGATATAACAATTAAAAATTTTAATACTAAATTTAAATCAAACAAAAAAAATATTGCCTATAGCTTTACATAAAAAGATTTTTAAATGATGCTTATGGCATCTGACGTTGTCTTTAATTAGCTGGACAGGATTGCAGAATTTTGCAAATACGCAGGAATAGATGCTTTTTTAGAAGAAAAGCTTGATGCATAAATTAATCTGCGTGATTGTCTATGTTCGTCGATTTATTTTCAACGCTAAATTAAGGAGAAAAGATAAGCCCAATTTAAATAAATTAAATTCTCAAGAGTTGGTCTACCAATATCAAAAACAAAGGTTTTTTTATTGGTAGAAGCAAATCGGTACCTTTACTACTTAAAAACTTGTATATTAAATTCCCATCCTATATCTTCTATGTCGTCTAACCCTCATGACCTTTTACCTTAACCACTGGATATTTTTAGATTGGTGGTCCGATAACAAGCTATCCGGAGAGTAACTTTTCGGATATGTCATCTAACAAATTACCAGCGTGGTAGCATTTCTAGAAATTGAAACAGCACTTTTAGAAACGATGGTTTTAAAGAATATCTTCAGTAATTGTTCAGCAGCAATAATATTAATGCTACTACTAATGGAATAAAGGTCGATGCTTTGGTGTTAACTCTTAAAGACAATTTGCCACCGTTGCAATGGTTAGTGGAGGTATCACATCAGTGCAAGCTCGAGAGGATGGCATTTTCAGAATGGTAACGCTAAAAACTACAGAACACAAGCGATGTAAAAAGAAATTGTGTCCACTTTCGATCAGCTAGATCAGTGTTTCCCAAAGTGGGGGTCGCGATCCCCTGGGGGGTCGCCATGAGGTACTAGGGTGGTCGCCGAACATTTCCAAAATAAGACAAAAGCACCACTTTGTTAGATCATGTATTTTTATTTTAACAACGCCGTAAATAGAAATTAACAATTAATTATGAGACGAAATATATTTAATTAATATATTAATTATCAGACGATTTAATATTAAAGTACGTAAAAATGAAAGAGTAAAACAAAGTGAAATATTATAATCTTAATGAAAGATATGCGCCTGTTTCTGTGAAACTAATCTTTCAAATCTAGGCTGTATATTTGAGACACACACAATTATATCATTTTCAAGTACGAGACGATTTCTAACTCTTGTTTTAATGGCAGTCATAGACGAGAAACTTAACTCACACAAATATGATGTTACAAATGGAACCAAACATTTTACAGCTTCACTCGCCAACTGGGGGTATTCCTGCATGTTTTCGGTCCAAAATTGGTCCGAGTTCTGGAAAAAAAATTGGAGCTTCAACATTCCATCACTTGATATTTCAATAAGTTTTTATTTCATGTTTATTGGTATTTCAATATGCTGAAAGAAATCGGCTAAAAACGGATTTAGTATCTATCTGCAACTGTCGTAACTGTTTTGAATTTCTTCGGGGAAATAATCACAGAGCTGTTGTTTTAAACTGGGCAAAGTAACATGCATGTCAGCAAAAACTTCTTCAAAATTTGTAACACTGTAATTGGATACATTTTCCATAATTTCCTGAAGGCACTGGAATGAATCAAGTTGTTTTTTGTCAAGTGAGGTCGACCATAAATCGATTTTTTTTAAAAACGCCTTAATTTTATCTGTGGCTGTAATTATATTAATGTCGCGACCTTGTAAATTACTGTTCAAAATATTTAATTGCTCGAAAATATTAGCAAGGAAACCTAATAGGACAAATAGGAAACCTTCAGAAGACAAATAGGATCGGAAAATTGATTTTCATATGGAGACTTCTCATCTTTCAAATACATTAAGAGCTCTGCTCTTAAGTGAAATACTCTTTTTAAGACGTTGCCCCTTGAAAGCCACCTTACTTCGGTGTGATAGAGAAGATTTTCAAATAAAGCATCCATGTCTTCGCAAATTTTTCTAAAAATACGGGTCTGCAAAGCTTTTCCTTTAATGGAATTTAATGATGGTTTTCATAACACAGTCCATTTCAGAAGGTAAAGCTTTGGACGCAAGAGATTCTCGATATAAAAAACAATGTCTACATTTGGCATTAGGCATTATTTCTTGTAATTTGATGACAAGACCAGACTTATGTCCTGTCATAGCTTTAGCGCCATCTGTGCATGTAGCAATACATTTACCCTAGTCAATATTATATTTACTTGTACGTTTCACAAAAGTGTCGAGTAAACATTTTCCAGTGGTATTGTTCTCCAATGGGGAACAAAATAAAATATCTTCTTGAATGCCGTTATTTGTATCATATCTTACAAACGTAATGAATTGGGCACAGTTAGGTATATCTGTAAATTCCTCCATTTGAAGACAGAAGTACGTACATTTATTAAGATTTTCCACAACTTGAGCTTGAATATCTTCTGCCATATTACTATTTCTTCTTTGGATAGTATTATTTGACAGAGGTGTTATATTTCTATTATTTGGGGAATGTAATCAAATAGATTACATTCTGATTAATAAAAGATTCCGGAACAGCATAACATCAGTCAAGACATACCCAGGAGCTCATATTAAATCAGACCATAACCCACTGATTGGCAAAATTAGGCTCAGGCTAAAGAAGGTTAGACGTAGTGTCAATCCAAAATTCGACATCAAGCTATTAAAATACCAACACACAGAACATAGTGTAAAGCGGTATATACATAACAATTTGAATACCGTTATTCAATCGGATGTAATGGACCAGGAGCTAGAAAAGATACATACAGAAAAGACATACGAGAGAAATTTCTCAAACCACCAAAATTAAGAAGAAATCGTGGACGACAAATGAGATTCTGGATATGATGGAAGAGAGTCGAAAGTTCAAAGATCAAGACATGTCATTATACAAAAGAATCGATAAAAAGATCAAAAAAGCTATTCATATAGCTAAGGATACACATCTAAGAAAATAGTGTTCGGAAATATAGAAATTGCTACATAAACACGATACATTTATTATGCACAAAAAAGTTAAAGAAGCCGCAGGCTTATAAAAACCTAGAAGAGTTGCGTGTTTGGCAGATAACCAAGGCAAACCACTGTTAACTGTGGAAGAAAAACTAGACACTTGGAAGAATTATGTGAAAGTAACTTTTGCAGATGAAAGGCAGACTAACATTGAACACACTGAATGCCAAACAGGACCCCCGATTACCATTGAAGAAGTCACGTCAGCTAATAAAAGAACTAAAGATGGTAAAACGGTAGGGCCTGATGAGTTTTGTGCAGAATTCCTTAAACTTATGGATGAACAGGGAATAAAATGGATAACAACTGTATTCAACAACATATACGTAACTGGAAAAATACCCCAAAGCTGGTTAAAGTCGACCTTCGTGACCATAGCAAAAAAAGTAAATGCCAAGACATGCGAAGACTACAGAACAATTAGCCTAATGAGCCACTTACTTAAAACGTTCTTAAAAGTGATACATGGCAGAATATATAAAAAATGCGAAGAACAAGTATCATGGACGCAGTTTGGATTCCGCGATTCCTTAGGCACCCGAGAGGCTCTATTCGCTGTCTAAGTGCTTATGCAAAGATGCAGGGATGTTAACTGCAAAGTGTATATTTGTTTTATCGACTACAAAAAGGCATTTGATAGAGTAAAACATGATAAACTTATAAACATATTGAAAGAAGAGGAGTTAGATGATAGGGACTAGAGAATTATCTATAATTTATATTACAACCAAACAGCCAATATTAAAGTGAATGATCAATTGACAGAGGCAGTCTCCATAGATAGAGGAGTGAGGCAAGGATGCATTCTGTCCCCAGTGTTATTTAATATATACTCTGAATATATCTTCGAGCAAGCGCTGGGAGAACTACAAGAAGGCGTATTAGTCAACGGCATGCGTCTAAACAACATTAGATATGCCGACGACGCAGTAGTTTTTGTAGATAGTCTGGACGGTTTGCAAAGAATAATATCGCGTATATCACATATAAGTAGAGAACACGGACTTGATCTTAATACGAAGAAAACAAAGTACATGGTAGTCAGTAAGCGCGAAATATTAAATACACAGCTTTTGGTTAACCAACATCCAATTGACAGAGTGGACAGCTACACATACCTTGGTACTAAACATTAACAGCCAATGGGATCACTCCAGTGAAATAAAACAACGCATAGGAAAAGCGAGATCAGCGTTCATAATGATGAAGTCTCTTTTCAGAAGTCATGATTTACCACTTGCTACCAAAATCCCTTTCATTAGATGCTATATATTTTCTACCTTATTATACGGAGTAGAGGCCTGGACACTTTTCGAAGTTTCCTTAAGAAAACTCGAGGCATTAGAGATGTGGTGTTACAGACGTATCTTAAGAATTTCATGGGTGGATCGTGTGACTAATGTTGAGGTTCTACGTAAAATAGGCAAGGAATGCGAGATTATTTACACCATCAAAGAGCGCAAACTAGAATATCTTGTCCATGTTATGAGGAATGAACAGAGATACGGCTTGTTGCAACTCATTCTTCAGGGCAAGGTATTTGAAAAGAGAGGACCAGGAAGAAGAAGAATATCTTGGCTTCAAAACCTGAGAAAGTGGTTTAATACATCGACAACCGGACGATTCAGAATAGCAGCAAGCAAAGTTAAGATAGCCATGTTGATCGCCAACATTCGGAGAGGATAGGCACCGTAAGAAAAGAAGATTGTATGTAATTTTGCAGCCTCTCTTTCCCCACACATTATATGTACCATTTCAACAGCTGCTGGAAAAATCAGATTTTCAGCAATTGTGTGCGGATTACTAGTTTTGGCAACACGATAAGCAACTTTATAACTTGCTAATAATGGTTTTTTATTATTAGTAATTGCCAAGGGAAAACTGTCTTGCTGTTTGTGAAGGACGTTCAGCTTTCTTTCAAAGAATTCTACGGGCTTGTCTTTATTATCTGGATGTGGATGCTATTTAAATGTCGAAGTTACTTTGATGGCTTCATGCTTTCTTTTGACAAAAACTTGTCCACAAATAACACATTGTGGTTTGTTGGAAATACCTAATGGTAAAACCATATTTAAGATATTTATCAATGTAGCATCTGTTTTTCTTTTTATTGCTGCTACTGCCACTTTCAGACGTAGGTGGTTCTGCACTTCTTTTTAAAAAAATTATCCATAATTTATAATTTATCGTAGACGTAAATACGTAAACGGGAATACGTAAGTCGTAAAATATTTACTCATTACTCAATACCGCGTTCGCCACCATAGGCTGTTTGGATTCGACCTGAGGTTTCGTTGCGCATCGCCGCTTATATAAAGCCAAAACGAGGCTACGAGAACGTTCCAGAGTGCCATCTAAAAGCGAGCGCTTTCGCGATTATCATGGAAGAGTTTTGCGATGTAGACACAAGCTAATATGTCGTGGTGTACAATGTGTAGTCGACTTCTTATTATTTATTTTTATTGTAAATGCAATTCTGCCAGAAGTACCTACTACTAATTACTAGTGTGACAGATCGGAATCATTAAAATAATTGTATTAAAATAAAATAATTATTTTTGATTTAAACTTAAAACAGTAAATTAAAATTAAATTTGAGAAACCATCAGATAATTGTATGCTATTTCTGTCAAATATTATTGAATAAATGAATGGGGGAAATTGGGGCGTTGCGAACAAATTTTTTAGCAAAAAGGGTCGCGGTTCAAATAGGTTTGAGAAATTCTGAGCTAGATCATCGATGTTAAACGACACTCGTATTTTGAACTTCAGTAGTTCAAGGCTAGTGGCATGTTCCGTCTCCTTATATTTTAATTAATTTTATTACATAGTTAGATTTTGTATGTGCAATTTTTGACGTTCCTTTGGTAAATTTATTTTCTTTAAAAAAATTTCAAAGGATTAAAATATTAGTTTTAATACATTTCTGTAGAAGTTTGATAATTTTTGTTATTGCTATGTTTATAACTATAAATGGCTATACAATTTAGCGTAACAGAAAGTAATAAGCCGGCTATTGTTTGTGAATAGTTTTCGTTAGACACTTTGTTGCTTGAGTTTGGAGACGCGCATTCATGAAATACATAGTTGTAACTTTAGACTTAGAAATTTTAGTAAAACCTTAGAAACCTTAGAAATTTTAGTAAAATTAAAACGGTATATTTTTACATGCGGGAACTAATTTTTACTACCCCTCCTTTAGACATTTTTTATCCAGTTTTGTAACGTAGAACATTGTTTTTGTATCATTACCCATTGTGAGCATGTAAACATAGTAATAGCAAGAAATAAACATTTTATCAAGCTATCGTTGTAAATTAATTTAAATTAATAAAGTAATAGTATTTAAAATTATATCTCATGGCAAAATAGCCATGGGTCAAAATATTATCTATTGTTTACAATGTTTTAAATTAAACTTTGAATATAATCTGTCTATAAACAGCGCTTAAATTAAGAACGTAAAATCTACAACCTACGCTAATTACGATTTTGTTGACTTGCTATTTGTAATAAATAGTTTTGTGAATTTTTAATTATTTGTGTTATTTCAGGTACAAAATGGAAACAACGCAGAAAAATTCTAACTCCAGCTTTCCATTTTTCAATACTAGAAAACTTTGTACATGTTTTCGAAACCAATGGAAATGTTTTTATTGATCTTTTAAAAAAGGAAGTAGACAAACCAAGCGTAGATATTACCTCTTTTGTTGCATTGTGCACTTTAGATATTATTTGTGGTACGTATGTTAAATAATATGTGCAATAAAAATTAACATTTAACACTTTAACTCCTGGGCCTATTTATCCGCATAAGTTGTCACAACCTTTTTTTTTTTCATGTTCTTTAATAAAATGTCCTATATGTATGAGTTAATTCATTAATAAACACTTTTTTTTATTTAAAAACGGGTTTTTATTTAAAAACCTAGACGACTTATCATAATATCATTACTAGACTTCGGCAAATATGCAAATAAAAATGTAGAAAATATGCGCATAAATATGCACATGTTTACTCGAAAATATGCAAATATTTTACAAATATGCATACAAATAAATAAAAAAATCGTAAAATAGTAACAATTTTATTTAAAAAAAAGTGTACATAACTAAATATTTCCTACTATTCATTAAGATTTACATTTATTTTAAGTAACTACATCATTTTTAAGTATGAATAAACTTATTTAGAATTATGGTAACAATAAATGACCAAGTGGTGTTCAAAATTTTCTAACAAAAACTTATGGCTTCTGTCTGAGTACATATATTTATATATGGAAAAACTTCGTTTAACATCAACTGATGTAACGGGAGCATTTTTCAAACTAACCAAAACATTTGGTTCTAAATTAATTGTTTCCGAAATATTTCCAGCTAGAACACTGACTACTTCAGAAAGAATATGGTAACCTTTATTTTTTTCCATAGTAGCTTCAAATTTTTTTAAAATATCTTTTCCAATATTACCTCTAACGTTCCGACAACATGAAAATTCTTTTATTAATGCTGTACTTTCGAACAATGACAGTTTTGGTGATTCTAACTGAGTAATTGTTTTTTGAACAAAACTAAAATTTGATTTTATAAATGAAAGTTCTTGTTGAAGCAAGTTACTCTGAAAAGTTTGTTTAGAATCCAAAAGAGATTGGGAACTTTCATCTGTTAACGTATCAATTATGTTCTTTATTTTAACAAAATGATCTGCATAAAAATTAGCTGCTTCTAACCATGTTCCCCATCGCGTTAAAATAGGTTGTGGTGGAAGAGGAATGTTAGGTAGCATTTCTTTATAAAGTTGAATTCTTATAGGAGATTTAAGAAATACTTTTTCGACACTGGATATCATGGTATTTACAAGAGGAAACTTTTTTCGTATTTCCTCTGCAACTCTGTTTAATCCATGCGCTACACAAGTAACATGTATTAAATGTGGGAAAAATATTTTTAAATTTTGTCCTGCGTTCACCATATAAGGAGCAGCATCCGATAAAATAAGCAGTAATTTATTAGAAGGAATAGTTGTCGGAAGAAAAAAAGTTGCTAATGTTTCTTGTATAAAACGCGAAATTGTTAAAGCATTTGTTTTCTCAAGTTGCTGGCATGAAATAAGATGAGATTTTGGTAAGGTATCTTCTTTAAGAACACCAATCAATAAATGAGCAATATACTTTCCTGAGGAATCAGTGGTTTCGTCTACAGATATGTAAAAATAATTATCTGCAATTTCTTCCTTAATATTAATTAACACCGACGAGTATAGCCCGTTCACATTATTTCTTGGCCGATCACTTGGAACATTAAGTGTGCAATATTTTTTTAGAAACGAACTAAAATTTACATTTGCTAATTTTGAAAGCGGTATGTTTGCAGACACTAATGCGCGACACAAGTCTTCATTAAAAGTTTCTTGCTCATCTAATTTTTTTGAAGTAGATTGGAAACATTTAGCCATTGAAGTTTGATGTTTTACTCCTATTTTTCCTTTTTTTGCAATGTGTGAAGCAGTTCTCACATGTTGGTCTATCTGAAATTTCTTCTCACATGCTATCTATAAATAAAAATAAAAACCTTTATTTTAACCCAACCTTTAAAATATAAAAATATACAAGGTGTTTTTGGTTAATCAAATAACTGGTTTGGAAAAAAAACACTCGCTAAGTGTTTTAAATGCAGTATTAATTTACAAATTAGTTTTTGTTACTAACCATTAGTACATCATATAACTTATTTTAAAATTCAACAAAGTTTTTTTTTGTTAATTCAATTACAATAAAAATAATTATGTTTTAGAATAGCTGACTTCATAAAAAAAGTAAAGGTGAAAAATTTTTCTAAATACACACCATTGTATTGTACCATGGACAATTTTTTCTCACTAAAGGAAGCTATTTTTTCATTTAAAAACAACCTACGAGTACTAAATTTCAAGTAAATACGTTTATTGGTTTTAAAGTTATTGTTGTTATTAACTAAAAGAATTTAATTTTTTTTAATTTTAGCACCCTGTATCTCGAAAAGTAAATAAGTTTGACCACTCATTAACTATATCGTTTTGTTCAATTTTTCGAGAAGTATCTACAGTCAAACGTTGTAAGTGTCATTTGGAAACACCCTGTATGTATGAAATATTAGATATTTAATAGAAAATATTAGATACTTACAATTTTGCCACAGACTGAACAGTAGATTTTTCCCATATCCATAGACAGCTCTTTATAAGGTTTAATCCAAGTTGAAGCACTGGTTGTTTTAGGCATTATAAAATCACAATCTTCCTTTTTGTTACGCACAACGAGTGTTTACGCTTTGAATATCAAAACAAAAATGATTTACAAACTGAGCATCAAATTAGAAATGTTTAGGTACCTAATTAAATAAACTGGGAGATTTTGGAAAATCCCTAAATTAGGAACAAAACTATTTGCCGTTTACCTGCTATTAAGATACAATAAATTGTAGATAGATTTGGGGATTAGATCATAAAATGCAAATGAGCGAACCCTTAGCGATTATCCAATAACTGAATGCCTCAGTGACCGAGACTTTCTAAGAATGTTGAGGGCTACTTTAATTGATCTTCTTTGAAATTTCAAACTTTTATACAAATATGCCAAAATATGAAATAATTTGCAAAAAAATGGGCACAATATGCAAAATATGCAATATGCATATTTGCCGAAGTCTAATCATTACTCATATGTATTGAAATTGATACACATTATTTATGAAACTTTATTACGAAAAAACATAAGCAAACATCTAAACAAATTATTTTAAATATACATTATGTGTTTTAAAAAAACAAATGTTACAAATAAATTTTTTTCTCTACATTCAGTGCCAGTACACCTAATGTTGCACTGTTTGGAATTCTTAGATGCATGTGCGCGACCAAAGGATTTTGCCGGTGTGATGTAACATATAACACATCGTTCTCTTTTGTCATATTCTTCCAGTCTATTGTGTGTTTGTAACAATATTGTCCTTGAAAATGGCAGTCACTAATTCTTCGCGAAATTGTGTTACATCCATTTTTTGTTTAAAGCTTTGTTGTACAGAATTAAAGCATTCACTACGGCTGTATTTGTCAATAACTCTACTCCCACTTTATGGTATCATTTTATAGAACGTCTGATGGGATTACTGTACAAAGCTTTTTGATCAGAGACGTCAATGTAAGATTTAACAGAATTATATTCTACTATTGTAGTCGGTTTTCTTTTTATTCCTGATTTTGTACGAACGTCGACCATTTCTGGACAAGATTTTGTAGTCAAAAATGATACCGCTCTTTTGTCGATCCATTTTCCTACAATAACTTTTGTGTTGCTCTGTAGCGCCATCATATCTCCTTTATTTAGCTTTGCTTCAAACACTGACTTAGTTCTGAAAGTTCTTCCTGAGTGTAGAAAAGGTTGCATTAATTCCATGACCACTAGGTATGCTAGTAATTGTTCTTTTTTTTCTTTTTTGCTTTCCGCCATAAATTTTTGCGTGATATTTATAGCCGCCTTTTCCGCAGAGTTTGAAAACTTTTACTCCATATTTATTACGTTTGCCAGGTATGTACTGTAAAAATGACAAACGTCCTCTAAAGGGAATCATCGATTCATCAATGCAAACGTATTTTTTTGGTACCAAAGCAGATTAATAACTTCTATGAACGCCTGCAACAATGGTTCAACTTTGAACAATCTGCTTCCTTCAGGACAAGCTTCATTATCTGATAAATGGAAGCAAGTAAGAAGAGCCTCAAATCTACACCTCGACATGTTTGTCGTCTTGTATATTGAGTAATGATGGATAAAATTAGTGCTCCAGTAATCTCGTAGTCGTGGCTTTGTATTCAAACCCATCCATATCAAAATTCCCAAAAATTTTAATATTTCTTCTCTGTTAGTATCATTCCAGTTAGTTGTCTATGAATTTGTCTTAAAGTTTTCACGATTTATAGCATCAATAATTTTTTGTTCGGCATATCGATTTGTTTCCTGCACTAAAATATCGAGTATCTCGTCTGTTAGGAATACGAGAACATGTTAAAGGTGTATCATTTTCCCTACTTTCTACAACTGTACCAAAAGAAGTATTTTCCTGTATAACGTCGAATGTATTCAAATTTCCATCAACATTGTTCCATATAACATTTGCCTGTAAATTCCCTATATGAAGATTTACCATATCTATATTATTTAGATCTTCAATTTCAGATTCACTTTCGCTTATTTGCAAATTTAACTGTTTATCTTGAATTCTAGGTTGACTTGTAACATTATCATCCTAAAATATTTCAAAATTAGATAAAACATTTGAAATTTATACGTAACTATAAACTTACCTTAAGTGTTTCCACTTTCTGCCGTTTTGTTTGTGGTTCACAATCTGAATAGTATTCACTGCTATCGGAAATATCAGTGTATAATGGATCGACATCTGAGTCATCAAATTCACAATCACTTATTTTGCTAAGATTTACAGCCAGATGCTCAAGTTCGTGTAAAGGAAGGTATCTATTGTTATTTTTAGACATTGGACATAAACAAACCTCACTACAATAAATTTCTAACAGTAACTGGTATGCCACTCGACGATTTTGTGTCTCCAAATTTTATCTACAATGTTGCCGATTTTAGTATGCTAGGATTACCGAACTAACATTGAAAATTGGTTACCACAGCCTAAAGGAATAATAATACACGTATAAATACATTACAACTGCGTTCGGACCACATACACAGTCGCTTGAATGCGTTCTACTCTTGTGTATCAAATTCATACACATAGGCTCAGGGAGAGTACCTGTTGTGTATTATATATGATACACATAGGAGTCAAAGTGTTAAACTTGTTTGTCCAAAAAAAAAAAAAAACAGACCATAATGATCTTCTGTAGTGTAAAAAGTATAGTGTATAAATATCTCCCACGTAACTCTATATTCATGAATAACGAAGATAGCATGTAGTGCCCTTTTAGTAGTCGCCTTGTTTGTTTTTCCTTCCTTAATATATTCCTTATGCTATATTACTTTATTTGCCATTTCTCATGTCAGTATTTGATAAGTTGTTCATTTTGTTTTTAGTTAGAATCCTTCTTAAAGTCAATAAATTAAAAATTGTCTTATAGTAAATTTATGTTCATCTATGGTGCACTATGATATCTTATATGTAAATTTACGTTCATTAATAATCAAATTACTGTGTAGTGTATTTTGATGGTCGTGGTCTATCTTAATATAATTGTAATGTCGTTCTCCTTAATTTAACGCATCACACGCTCCAATGGGACCAAAAACAACGGAGATATAATATAAAGCCTTTTTAATATTGCCGCTATATTTGGTTTTTCCGTCATTGCACTAGATATTCTTCTTTCCAACGAGGCCTCAGAAGTCACGATATTATGTCGAGCCGTTCTAGAGCTGTGCGACTTTGCGACCAATTTGAGTAGCGGTGACGGTCGCAAAAACCTTACGCGTATTCAATGATTTTCTCCAACCAAAAAGTGTACAACGTCGCTAAAGAAGTTTTCACTATTGTAGTGTAAAAAATTGTAGTGACTATTACGTACCTAAATAAAAACTTTATATCAATATTAATAAAAATAATTTGTTTTTTTTATTTCAGAGGCTGCAATGGGCATTAAGCTAAATTCTCAAGTTACAAAAACCTCTAAATATGTAAGAAGCGTTAAAGAAGTATGCAAAATTTTTGGAATGAGGCAATATAGTATCATTCATCCTTCTTTATATCCACTAACATTAAATTATTATGTCGAAAAAAAGGCAATTAAGATACTTCATGCTCACACAGATAATATTATAGAACAAAGAATTACGGAAAGAAATAAATGTGTTAAAGACAAAGATAGTGTCGATGAGTTTAACCAGAAAAAAAGGTTAGCGTTTTTGGATTTATTATTAGAAAGTACAATAGATGGAAAGGCTCTGACTCGATTGGATATAAGGGAAGAAGTAGACACTTTTATGTTTGAGGTTGGTGTCAGCATGTATTTTTTTCGTTTCATTCAATTTAGCTATTTTGGTATTTTTTATGCATGACTTATTTAAATAATCTATACTCTTCTTCGTACTTCTGATTCCACTAATATTACATATTGTTTACTATTTTGTCTCTCTATTTTTATATCTATCTAAGCATTGTATTGTATTCCTAGTCCTTTACTATATATCTCGAATAGTATGAGGTCTATGCGACAATAGAAATAGGTACTTAAAATTTTGTTATAAATTATATTATAGGAATTTGTTGTTTATTGTTTTAATTTATGATGCTAAGAAGATCGATATTATCGACTGCAAAATTCAAGCAAGCAACGGATGGAGGGGTAAACCTCATCTTCGCAATAAAATCAGTGATTGTAAAATAGACCCAGAGCCATTTGCAAACTGATCACTGGCCTACCTTCACTCCGTGTCCGCTAAGGTTTGATAATTTTAAAGAATCATCCAAGTTCGAATGCCAATAAAATAACGAAGTTGGTGACTATTTTGGATATAACTGTAAATAGCACATGCTCACAAATATTTTGATTGAATAGTTCACTATTATAAACCTAAGCAGCTAAATCTGTAGATTTAGAATTCGTTTAGATTGAAATACACGATATAAATATATCAATTTAATTTTAAAATTTTAAATTTTACATTTTAAAGCATTTTTTTCAATTTCTGAATTTAATTTAATATGTTGCCAAGTAAACAAGAAATGTAACAGGTAACAGACAATCTTCCACATTAGAAACCAGTGCCTTGGGGCAAAAATGCTGGTGATGAGTTTATCTATCTGTGGTGGTGCGTTTACCGATCTTTAAAGGATGTCGGTGATCAGTTTGCTATATCTCAGAGGGTCTAATAACTTTACTTGTCCATTAGAAGATAAATGTTGTAATAGGTCAGTTGCCAAAAGCTAGTTCTGTCGTTAGAAGTGAGCTGTGTGTAATAACTTTCAATATATTGATTGTTTTATGTGATTTATTTTTGGTGAACATATGATTTGATGTAAAAGTTAAACGAGGAGTCCGACAAGGCAATATAATTTCACCTAAACTGTTTACCTTGACCCTCGAAGAAATAATAAAATCAACAGATTGGAAAAACAGAGGAATATGTATTAACGGAAAATACCTAAATCACCTTAGATATGCGGATGATATACTCCTGATCTCCTCGGAACAAGAACTGAAATTAATGCTGAATGAACTTCATGAAAAATCACTGCAAAAAGGTCAAAAAATTAACTTCAACAAAACAAAAGTAATGACAAACACGGAAGACCAAGAGACAATAAAAATACAAACAGAAATAATAGAACAGGTAAATGAGTATATCTATCTAGGACAAGCAATCAGAGCTAACAGAGAAAATCAAACAGCCGAAATATCGAGACGAGTAAGAATGGGATGGGCAGCGTTCGGCAAACTTTCTTACGTTCTAAATAATCAAACAATCCCCCTATATTTACGAAGCAAGGTATATAACTCCTGTATAATACCGGTGCTCACCTACGGAGCACAGACATGGACATTTACACAGGCCAATTTGGATAGGATAAGGAAGGCGCAAAGAGCGATGGACAGACAAATGTTGGGTATATCACTTAAAGATAGAAAACGTAACCAGTAGATCAGAACCAGAACAAAGACAGTAGACGCGATAGAACAAGCAGCAAAACTGAAATGGAAATGGACTGGACACGATGAACATCTCCAAGACGGACGATGGAACAATGCCATCGGAAAGTGGCGTCCATGCACTGCAAAGAGATCAAGAGGCAGACCACAGATGAGGTGAAAAGATGACATCAGGAAACAAGGAGGTCCCACATTACAGAGAACAGCTCAAGACAGGGAAAGATGGAGAGAACTGGGGAGACCTATATCCAACAATGGAAGGATATAGAATAGGTTAAAAAAATGATTTGTAGACAGTATTTTCGGGATAACTCCTAGGATATTCACTTACAGTTCCAGTCAGTTCTTGGCGTTGGTTGCGAATAGATGGAGAGATATTTTCCACCATTGAATGACCGCTTTAGATGCTGGTTGAGTAGCTCTGCGACCAATTGTTTCATGTATATTCTACGAAGCAACTTATAATTTTTAATATTGCCCAAATTAATAATTTGGGAATTTATTTAAGCCGCATTTATAAATAAATAAAAAATCACCATTGGTTATCTCCGGGTATTACCAACTACATTATACGTGGCACAAAGCTCGTCAACGGTTATACCCACCTTTTCTTTATTATAAAATAATATAATCATGGGCTTCTATAGATCACCTATTGATTCGTCTATTAGATCATTCTTGTGTATAGTTGATGCCAATAACCCTTTAGTTCCAAGACGTCACAATTGTGTGTGTCTTATTAACACGTGCAATTTGAATCAAAATTTTATAGTCACTTATTTGCACTGATACGACAATATTGTGTTGGATATAGATTATCGGTTTCATAGTACATGATTTATTTTGTTCCCATATTTATCTTGGAATTCGAGGTTGCAATATCAGTTTTATTGTTTTTCTGTGTTTATGACAATAATTGTAATAATGAATAAAGGCGGGATTTATTTAAAAATAATTTAAGCGGAGTTTAGAATGTAAATTTATTTAGTAAATGCATTGTTTTACATGATAAGGTGAAAATTTAAAAATATTTTAGGGTTTGTTTTTTCAAATGCTTATCACTTGAGGTGGTATCACAAATGTAAGGGCTGGCAGCTAATACTCACAGAAAAGAAGAGGTCGGTATGTTTTTACTTTATGCAGCGTCTAATTTTTTTGCTGAACTTGGAAAAGCTTGCAGCCAATCCAGATCGGGTGAATAATGTCCTTAATAAACTGAAGTCAGATTTTGAGGTAGAAAGCAATAACCACGATGATTTTTTTTTGCATTCGAATGTCTCTTTAGAGGGAAATAAATAGTTGAAAAGCAGTAGTAGTAGGAAGTAGTAGTAGCGACGAAGTGCCTAGAACACCAGCCAAGAAAAGTCTACACCGGCCCCAAAATGGGTAAAATAGCCATCTAAAAATGAATATAATTCTGCTTTGTTCGAATTGAACTTGAAAATTTATAATTTGTAAAACAAAGAAAGGTAAATCGAAATTATGGATAAAACTCTTCTTCTTATTTTTCTTCTTAGCCTTCTGTCGTCCATGTTTGGACACAGGCCTCTCCCAACTCCTTCCATCGGTCTCTATCCTGGGCAACATATTTCCAATTTGTTCCGGCTATTCTTCTAATGTCATCAACCCATCTCATCTGTGGTCTTCCTCTTGGTTGTTTACTTTTGTAAGGTATCCAATGTTGTATTGTAGTATTCCAACGTTGGTCTTTTTGTCTAGCAGTGTGGCCCGCGAAGCTTCATTTAAGTTTTGCAATTTTTATTGTTATATCCTCGACTTTTGTTTTGGATCTTACCCAGTCGTTCCTCTTTTTATCTGACAGTCGTATACTTAACATTGCTCTTTACATTGTTTTTTCTGTTGTGGCTAGTTTATTCATGTTTGCCTTGGTTAGGGTCTAGGTTTGACATCCATATGTCATGATAAGAAGGATGCATTGGTTGAACACTTTGCTCCTCAAGTATTGGGGTATTTTGCGGTTCTTAAGTACCCAACTAAGTTTTTCAAATCCTGCCCATGATAGTCTTGCTCTTCTAGTAATTTCCGCACTTTGGTTCTCTTTGTCAAGTCTCAGGATTTGGCCTAGGTAGATATATTCCTGAATTTTTTCTATACCATTGTTGTTTATAGTTATATGTCTGGGGTCTTCACTATTTGTCATTATTTTTGTTGTTTTTAGCTGGCTGCTAGTTCCCCCAACACAATTTGAAGTTCCTCGAATGTGCTCGCTATAATCACTATGTCGTCAGCGAATCTGAGGTGGTTTAACTTGTTGCCATTAACGTTAATGCCATAGGTTGAACAATTTGTAGTTTTGAAGACGTCTTCTAGGGCTAGGTTACAAAGCTTTGGCGATATTACGTCTCCTTGTCTTACTTCTCTCTTAATGGGGATGGGATTTGTATTTTCGTACTATCATAGTTGCATTTTCATATATATTATGTATTAGTTGCCTATATCTCTAATCAATTCTACAATTATTAATAGCTTGTTTTATGGCCCACATCTCGATACTATCAACTGCTTTTTCATAGTCGATGAAGGCAAGTAATACGGGTAGTTGGTATTCATTTGCCTTCTCTATCAATGTTCTCATTGTCAGCAGATGGTCTGATGTACTATATCCTTTGTGGAAGCCAGCCTGTTCAACCGGTTGGTAAGTATCTATTTTGTAGGTTAACCGGTTATTAATAATTCTCATAAATAGTTTGTATACTTGACTGAGCAACGATATAGGTCTATAATTCTGTAGATCACATTTGTCTTCTTTTTTGTGTAAGAGTATTACTAGACTCTCGTTCCAGTCTTTAGGGATCTGGCTATTATGGAGACATCTATTAAATAGCTCTGTTAGTATAGGGCTTGTTAATGTCTTGCTTGGTTTCAAGAGCTCGGCTATACCGTCGTGTCCTGGAGCTTTATTATTTTTTAGTTCTTTTAAAACTTTTTCTATTTCGTATCCATTTATATTTGGTAGTATGTACTTCTAATCCCACGTTTTTTATTTTTCTTTTGACGTTCTCCTTTGTTGTTTCATTCGGCTGGCCTTGCGAGCTGTACAAGGCTGGGTAGAAGTCTTCGACAATATTTGTTATTTTATATTTATGTGCGGGTCTTAGACATTTTAAGCCTCTGTTGTTTTCAATGACTCGCTTTATTAAGTTCTCGTTCCATTTTTGTATGTCGCGTTTTAGTTCTTTTCTAACTGTTTTATTAAGTACAATATATATTTGTGGATGGCGTTTGTTTTGCGCGAGTAGTTCTCTTCTTTCCGTCATTAGTTGTTTAGTTTTATTGCTTATTTTGTCTTCTTTAGTCCTTGTTTTTTTTGCGACCTGTAGTCCTGCTGCGAGAAGGTTTTTATTTAGGTTTTTATTAATCTCGTCAATTTGATCTTGAATATGTGAAGGATCAGATTCGAACTTATCCGCTAAGACCATCTATCCTCGTTGTTTTTTAAAAATCCTTTTTCTCTTTTCTTTCATGTTAATATTTATTTTTGCTCTGACTATACGATGGTCACTGCCCTTTGTTACGTTGTTTATTGTTGTGACGTTTTCAAATATTCCTTTGTTGTTTGAGAGAAAATAGTCTATTTCATTTTTGGTAGTTCTGTTAGGTGCGACCCATGTCCACTTTCTGTTAGGTTTCTTTTTGTAGAAGGTATTCATAACATACATGTTTTCTTGTTTCAGGAATTGCATGAGTTTTTCTCCTCTTGTGTTTCTTGTGCCGAATCCAAAATTTCCAATCTTGCTTTCAGAGTCTTCAATCTTACTTCCAATTTTGGCGTTAAAGTCTCCCATTATTATTATTTTGGGTTCTTTGTTGTTGTCTATAGCTTTTTCAACGTCTTCGTATCGTTCAACGTATCGTGCAGCTTGCACGATTTTTATTTTAGTTTTTGGATTGGATAAAACTACAATGACTAAAACTGAAAAACCGTCTGCTAAGACGGCAAGATATACACCGCTATCTTGTAAGGATAAAAATTTGCTGCAAATTAAAATCGCACTAAAAACTTTTACGTGGCTTTAATAAATCGTGAGCGTCCCTGAAATCATGTTTAACGTCAATTTTTGTTTATAAGCAAAAGTAGGATTTCTAATAATGCAATAATATTGGTAAAAAGTTATCTGCAAATTCAAAAAAATGTAGGCTAGGGAGCATAAGCAGTATGATTTGTTTTTGTTCCTTAAGTACATTGGAGACTACTATAGTATTTTCTTGGAATTCAAAAATCTTGAATAAACAGGTCAATTTTTGAAGTTTATAAACTCCAACGGTAATTATGTTTTGTTTATGTTTTGTTTTTTCTTCCTGTACAGATGTATGTCAGATTGTGATCACGACGCAGTTTTGTAATAAACTCAAAGCTAGTAAATCAATTATCATACGTAAGATTTCTTTCAGTATCTACCCGATATTGGACCAATTAATCTCTCGACAATACTAGCTGAATCATTTGGTTCCTCTGGTTGTAAACGAACATATGACTATAGATTGAAAGTATATCTGGTTTTTGAATTAACCATTATTGAAATAATTCCATTATTTCATATTGCAGAAGATCGAAAAGCCTTCGCAATGGTGATCGCCAACGTCGGATAGTTCTAATATGGCACGCGAAGAAGAAGAAGGCAAAAATGTTTAATCTGTATTTGTTAGTTTTGGAAGGAATTTACTGTTTAGGACCGCATCTTCTTCAAAATGCGTCAACTTTCTCGTCAATAGTGCAATACTCGTTAATTTAGGAGGCAGTTTTATAATTTTTTACAAAAGTCATAAACAGTTGTCTTAGAGACTCTAGCTTGTCATACAATTTTCTTTCGTCTTGATTTTCTAAATCATCAAATATAAAACATCTTTTTTGTCAAAAAAATTAAATAACGTGACCGTGATAAGGTTACCTAACCAAAACATTTCAACTCCGCTGTCATTTCGACTCTTCTGTATTTAATCAATTATTTTGCAAACCTCCAGCTAAATACAGCAATCCAGTAAAGCTTTTATTTTAATAACATCAGTATTTTTAGCAGAATAGGGTCTGGTGTACATCTCTTATTCGATCTATAGGTTAGATCGTACTTTCAACGATAATGTTTAAAGTATTTTCGGAAAAAAACAAATTCCCACAATGAATTACGGATTTGGCATTCTTGCCAGATGCTTTTACACCTGGTGATTAAAAAACTTATTAAATTGGCGGATTATTACCGTTTGCACCGGGCAGTGTTTTTTCAAGACAGCTCCATCTTTGCCTATAAAACGAGCAATCCGTGAAAATTTTACTGGGATTAAAAGTTGTTCTGTGTCATTTTCTACTTCCTAAAGCAATTAAATTAGATGAGGTAGCTTTTTCTAAACTCATTGTGCAAAATATTAATAAATTTTACAAAGTAAAATGTAAAATACTACACGTATCGAATATACAATACAATCAAATACATAACATCAGCAAAATTACTCACCATTTGTAAAATAATTTTTAAAAAATGAAAATAAAACAGTCACCTTAGTTACTTAGGTGGTGGCGTCAAGTCTAATGGACCCAAATAGACTATAAAAATCAAGACAAAAATCTTGCAAAAGTTATCGGATCTATGATCGATACTTCTTCTTCTTAGGGTGCCTGTCCGTTCCGAACGTTGGCGATCATTCTGGCTATGATGATTTTGTTGGTTGCTATACGAAATAGCTGTGTTGAGGTCTTTCTATACCATGCTCTCAGGTTAGCAAGCCAAGATACTTTTCTTCGTCCCGGGGCTCTTTTTCCTTCAATTTTTCCCTGCAAAATGCATTGGAGTAGTTCGTATCTGCCTTGATTTCTCATAATATGTCCCAGGTACTCCAGCTTACGACTCTTCACAATGTTGATCAACGATCGATACAATAATAAATATTAGGAAGTTATCAAGAGCAAAGAGTTCATAGTTTAAATACCACTCTTTTTATACCGTCCAGTACGATGCTTGGATCTCAGAGACCTGGGGCCCCCGCTGCGGGCCAAAGACAATCTTCAAATGCTCTTACACCATTTTATTGAAAAAGAAGAAAGTTTATATATGTTATGTGAACAAGTGGGTCATTACAATTATTTAAGGTGGTATACATTAGACAAGAACTAAAAAAGGACTTTGATTGTATAAGTCCTATTTTTTTATCCAACTTTTACCCAAGACTTTTACCCAACGTGACCAGAAGTAGAACCGGAAGTCGACATTTAAACTCTTTGTGTAACTTTACGTCGATTGATTTATGATTTCATTAATTTTAAGTAATTTTAAAAAATTTCAGAACTTTTTAACTGGAAGTGATATAAAAACCGGAAGTAGATATTTGTTCTCGTCTTGCCAAGACCTGTCGAATAGTATATCGCTTGTAATATTTTGGTGACTTTAAAACAGTACTTTCGGTTACAACCTCCGAACCGGACGTCTGAGGTCAAATTACTCACCTTTAATACCATTTGGTTTATAAGTTTTCATTCGACACTCCATTTGTTATTCTATTTATTTTAATAAGAGACATAGTTAATTCAAGGTTGTCACCGTTTTCTAATGTTGTAAAATTGATAAAAATAATATCTATTAGAGCAGTAATAAAAAAAAATAGTAAAGAACAAAATGATACAACTCATAAAGAGAATTGATGCAAATCCCAATTGCCGAATTACCTGAAACTTTTTTTAGCTTAAAATTATACAAATTATACAAATCTTTAAAATTTTATATTCTTATTTATTAGTACTTATTCCTTTTGTAGGGTCATGACACGACATCATCTGCTATTAGTTTTGCTCTTCATTCATTGGCAAATAATCCAGAAGTTCAGGTATTTATACTTTTTTATTAAATATGTATACGTTTTAAAATTTTGTTTATAATACTAAGTAAAAACAGATCAATTGGGATATATTTAGGGTTATTAAATATTTCCTTGAACAAGTCCAGTCGTTCGCCTAACCGCAGAAGAGTCACAGAATAAAGATGTGAAAAGTTAGGTGTAAAATTTTATGAAGCTAGTTCTGTGACAACCAAATAGAGTAATTAAAAATCCTACAAGAAATAAACCAGTTGTGGTAGATGTTTTGAAGAACCCTGATCAGAAAAAAGAAATAAGTATCAAGCTTGATAAAGAAATAAAAACGATCGCAAACTTGGCACAGTCAAACATTCAACTGACATGGACTGCTAACTCTAAAAACAAAAATAACAAAGATACAAGAAGAAGATATCAGGTTTATAAAACACAACAAAAAACAAGAATGGATAACGCAAGACATCATGAACCTAATGAACGTAAGACGAAAACATAAAACAAGCCCAATAAAATACAAGCAAATCAATAAAATCATTAGAAAAAGTTCACGGAGGCGAAAGAAAACTGGATGTCAAAAAATTCCTAGAAATCGAACAACTTCAGGAAAAATACGACACCTTTAATATTCATAAAAAAGTAAAAGAAATGACAGGTAGACACAAACAGCGGCAAGCACCGATATTAAAAAATGATACTAACAAAATAATTATGGGTACAGTAGACAAACTAGAGAGATGGAAAGAATACATACAAACTTTTTTGGACGACGATATACCTTGTTCTCCACCATACACAGATAATCGAATAAATGAATAAGTCCCAGAAATAACCAAAGAAGAAGTGATTCACGCAGTAAAATTTCAGAAAGATGGAAAAGTCACCGGTCCAAACAATATCAATGTCGAAATAATAAAACTAATTGCAGATAACGAAAGTTAAAGCCTAGACTTAATAACAGCACTATTCAATAAGATATATGACACAGGTAAAATACCAACAGACTGGCTAAAATCAACATTTGTAGCATTACCAAAAAGATCGAATTCCTCACAATGCGATGATTATCGAATATTAAGCTTAATATCTCATATCCTTAAAACTTTTCTCAGAATTATCCATATACGAATTTACAAGAAGTGCGAGTTCCAGATGAGTGACACTCAATTCGGAATTCGAAACGGATTGGGAACACGAGAAGCTCATTTTGCTTTAAATGTGTTAACGCAACGATGCACAGACATGAATGTAGATGTATATGCATGTTTTATTAACTATCGAAGAGCATTTGACTGTGTTAACCATCAAAAGATGATCGAAATTCTGAGAACAACTGGAGTTGACGAACAAGACTTGCGAATTATCTCAGAACTATACTGGCACCAAACGGCAACAATTTAAATAAAGCACACAACATCCGAAGATATACAAATTTAACGAGGAGTGAAACAGGGTTACGTCTTATTACCGCTACTGTTTAATTTATATTTGGAGTTTATACTCAGAGAAGCATTAGACCAGGTCCAAGGCGGAAGATTAACGGAATCAGCATAAACAACATCAGATATACTGATGATACTGTCTTAATAGCAAGCAACGCACAAGAACTACAAAATATAATTAATGCTGTAGTTCACCACAGCGAAATGTTTGGTTTACTTCTATACGTTACCAAAACTAAAACTTTAGTATTTTAAAAGACACCTGGAGGCTGCCGGTTTACAACATCCCTTCCATGGAGAGGCTTGTATGCAACAGTGTCTCTTTCAGCGGCTTTGTTCTTGCTGCAAGTCCAATTAGTCCGCTAGCCTTCGACAGCTCAGTAGAGAAACTAAAATGGACTTTCAAAGTTGCTTTTATCTGGCCTGTTGAATTGATATAGTGAAATAAAACAATTACTTGTTTAGAAAAAAACTGTAATTGAAAAAAGAAAGAAAGGGCAAGAAATAGAGCTTATAAAATTTGAGTGTGTAACTTATCGTAGGAACTTAATTTGAATATTACAATTTGCGAACGAAAGCGAAAACACCATAACACTTATTCACATATTACGGCTTCCCGGCCAACTGCGTAAACTGCAACGTGGAGAATCCTCTCTGAACTTTGAAATGTAGATGTTAGCCCTACGAAAGTCGCTAAATCACTAGCCCCGCTAGAATATTTTTTTGTTTATGCATTTTGAAAAGCCGGTCTGTCGTCAAGTAGGCGCTGTGGGCGGGGATTAACATTCTCAAAAACAAGGTCTAGGTAGACTGGATTTATTTAGGTAACCGACGCGAAAATAGAATTATTTGATACAAAATAGAATTATTGGTTTGGAGATATAGTTCTCCAACAACACCAATAAACGTACATATGTATGCCAAGGGTCCAATGATAAAACAGGTAAATTCCATAAAATATTTGGGAGCAAATATCAATAGTCAGTGTATTTCAAGAAAGAAATACTATCAAGAATCGAACAAGCAAGGAAAACATTCTTGAACATGAAAACATTTTTTTTAAAGATCAGACCTTAGTCTGCAGCTTAGAATCCGAATGATTAGATGTTATATTTTCTCTGTCTTACTGCATGGCTGTGAAAGTTGGACAATGGACTCTGAAATAAAAAAAAGTATAGATGCCTTTGAGATGTATATATATATATATATATATATATATATATATATATATATATATATATATATATATATATATATAGACGATTGTTAAAAATTCCATGGGTACAAAGAATTACGAATATTGAGGTACTTCGTCGACTTGTAAACAAAAAGAATTACTAAGAATAATCAAAGAGAGGAAAATGCAATACTTTGATCATGTGCAGAGAGGCGAAAAATATAAAATACTTAAATTTACACTGGAAGGAAAAGTAGAGGGCAAAAGATCAGTAAAAATACACCAGAACTCATGGCTGAAAGACCTGAGGAGATGGTTCGACCGCTCTTCCGCAGAAATCTTTCGCGCAGCAATTTCCAAAACCACAATTGCCATTTGGATTGACAACCTTTGACGCCGAAAGGAGACGGCGCCGTGAGAAGAAGAAGGTAGATGTTTTGGGTTACATTGTAATGAAATCTACCTTAAGTACAAAAAATTGTTAAATGCTTCTGTCTGACTCACATTGTAACGACATATTTTGCTTACCTCAAGGTAAGAACATGAGGGTAGAAGATTGGGCAAACAAAATAATCGAAACTGGTGCGTACGACACTTAGGGGGTTTGTTGGAGAGCTGGGTCGTAGATAAGTTGAAATAAATGGGTCGGATTGGGGTATCAACAAAAAGAAAACAAAGGGATCTTCTTCTTACGGTGCCTTATCCTTAAGGACGTTGGGCATTACATTTGCCCATTTAATCTTATTTGTAGCAGCCCTGAATAGTTCTATGGAGGTCATGTTCGTCCATTGCCGCAGGTTTTTAAGCCAGGAGTTGCGTCTTCTTCCTGGTCCTCTTTCGCTATTGACTTTGCCTTCGATTATAAGTTGGAGCAGTTCATACTTCTGATTTCTTATGATGTGACCAAAATATTGTGTTTTCCGTTCTTTTATTATTAGTATAAACTCTCTTTCCTTATTCATCCTTCGCAACACTTCCGCATTTGTCGTATGGCTCATGTAGGATATTCTGAGCATTTTACGGTAACACCAGAGTTCGAATGCTTGGATTTTTTTTGTGTTGCTTCTGTCATTGTCCAGGCTTCAACACCATAGAGCAAGGTGGAGAAAACATAGCACTTAAGTATTCTAGTTCTCAATGAGATGCCCAGCTGGCGGTTGCATAGAACTTTTTGCATTGCAACAAAGGGATACTTACATAAATCTCCTGGAACAAAAACGAAACAAGATATGGCAGACAAGGTTACCTCTAGCTATTTCTATTCGGACGCCGCTTCGAAGAAAACTTCCTGCGGGGAGAAAGAAAATTTCTTCTTCCCTAAAATCAATAATACATACACGGGTTAGAAGACTTTTCTAAATTAAAACAAAAAAATGGATCAGAGAAACAAATCAAACGTTTTTTTTTTTTGTCTCAAACAAACAGTTATCAAAAATACAGATTGCACAAGAAGCATACTATATAACCATAATACAAAATTAACAAAAACTTACGTGGTTATCTGTTTACAAAGAAGATTGCTACAAAAATTTTCTAACTGGGTCCTAGGTTATTTATTAATATGGCCAAAATAGAATATTAAAAATTAAGGATATCCTTGTTAATGAAAATAAAATTTAACTTTATATATGAAATATCTTTTCTATATAATAATTAAATTAAAATTGTTCTACAACAACAGCAGATTTAAGCCAAAATGTCATATGTCAACATAACATTTTAAGACAGAATAAATTATGACATTGTTTGGCCACGCCTCCAACATAATATAAAATTTTAATTATTACAAATTCTTTTAATTTTTAATGAAAGCAATTATTAAAAATATTGTCTATTTTACTTGGAAAAATTAATATATTAAATGTTACCTTAATCTACAAACTTTTACACTTAACTTTGAAACTTTCTACATCTCTGAGACTAAAACTAACAGGACAAATTTTCCACAGGAACAAAGGAAGCCATTTCTATACTTAGAAACGAGTATCTAAGACGTAGATGGTGTTGGAGCAAACAGACAAACAAAAAAAAACTGGTGGAACGTTTTCTAAAAAAAACCTATATACTTAATCTCAAAATTTCATCAGCCTCCGGTACACTACACAAATCTTATGATAATTACTCTGTTCTAAACTACCATATTTTGCAAAGAGTATTGTCACCTTACCAGTCTTAAGACAATACACACAAAGAATTGGTTGTGGATTCAAAATCCGCCAAACGTCTTTCTAGTTTGAAATCTCTTGCTTCACTCACTATCTGAGTTCCGTTTCAAAGATTCAACGCCAAATAAATCCCCTTAGGTCTCTCAGCCAGTTTGTGGTCTACAAACTTAAAACAAACATAATACCCTCGACAACTCTCTGTTCGTAATAACCTTGAAATATTCCCAGCTT